TTGATTAGCTCTAGTAATTTTCTGGTAGAGTCTTTAGGGTTTTCTATGTAGAGGATCATGTCGTCTGCAAACAGTGAGAGTTTTACTTCTTCTTTTCCTATCTGGATTCCTTTTATTTCTTTTTCTGCTCTGATTGCTGTGGCCAACACTTCCAAAACTATGTTGAATAGTAGTGGTGAGAGTGGAAACCCTTGTCTTGTTCATAATCAAGTCATCATTTTAAAGTGCTATCTCTGATAGTCTTTCTTTTTTCCCTCCCCCTACCCCCATCTTTCTCTCTCTGTAATCTATACAGATATTTTTTAAATGAAAATGGAATAAAATTAAATTCATCTTGGCCAAGTATCTTTTAATATAGAGCAGAGGTCAGTTACTTGATAAAATGGGGTAAAATGTTCTACATCATGCTGGCACCATCAGCAGCAATAGAGCATGAAGATAAAGCAGGATATTTGAACCAGGAGTGCAAAGTAGAATCCATGGGAAATGAACAGATCAAAAAACAGTGATGATTCTACAAGAAGATAAAAATGAACACAACTAGCTGTTGGGTGGGGCTTCCCAGGTGGTGCTAGTGATAAAGAACCTGCCTGCCAATGCAGGAGACATAAGAGACATGGATTCAAACCCTGGGTCAGGAAGATCCCCTGGAGGAAAGCATGGCAATCCACTCCAATATTCTTCCTTGGACAGTCCCATGGACAGAAAAGCCTGGTGGGCTACAGTCCATACAAAAAGTCAGACATGAGTAAAGCAACTTAACACACACACACAACGGTTGGGTGATGAGGGAGACTGGCCGACTGGCCTGTCCTTAACAGAAGGAAAGAGCAGAGCATAGGGATAGTGTGTGCATTAAGTGGATTAAAATCAGAAATCCAAGCAGACAAGCATGTGAGGAACCATGAAAGGTGCAAGCTCAGAAGTGGGTCAGGAAGCCTGGTAGGCAAGGAGCAACATCAAGAATAGGCTCAACAACCAGGGAACAGTTTGTCTCTTGGTTCTGTCATGGGTTTCACTGTTCTGCCAACAGTTTGTCTCTTGGTTCTGTGTGGTTTTCACCCATGAGTTTCTTAGAGATTTTGTTTGGGGAAAGACCTCATCGTGTGGACAGTCTAGAACTGGTAAATTCTAGGAGAGAGGTCCATCACCTGACTGGGAAGAGGGAAA